GAACAAGTGGGAGGAAGCCAGCCAAGTCAGCCAAGAGACCACTAGTGAACAGCTCAAGGAGAAGGCCACTCGATTCATGCTTGTTTTTTCAAATTAAGTTTAGCTCGAACCGTTTCTGTAGCTGTTTGTTCGCCCAACCATTTCCAGGCCAAGCTCTTCGTCACTGAGCTGGGCAAGGAATACGGTCTCTTGCAGGGCTTGAAGCTCCAGATCCAAGGCAGCGGCTTGGACGACAAGGCCACCTTCTTGAAGTCCCTCACCAAGCAGCTGCAGGCTTTGGAGCGGATCCGCACGACCCTGGCTGGCAAGAAGGCTTGCAAGATGGAGGACATGAAGCCCGTTTTGCTTGACGCGGTGACCACCCTCCAAGCTTCCAAGAAGCTTAAGGTGGAACTCACTAAGGCCCTTAAGGACGCCTGAGCAGTTTTTTTTTCAGGATGGCTGCATAGAGGCCCAAGCTCAAGCAACGTGTAACACGCAACAGTCTTTGGTACCACGGCCCTGCAGAGTCCAGCAAAAGCTAGAAGTCTTGAGTCTTGACCCGGCAGCTATTCCTGATGAGATTTTAGCTTATAGTTTTCATGAAGTCCAGGCAGGCAGGGTTTTCCAAGCTGTGAACGGCCTTAAGTCCAGGCCACGCAGTCTGGATGTTTTGAACCCTCCAGCCTCTTAGGCTCCAAGAGCAAAGGCAGTTCAAGGGAGAGAGCCTACTGAAACCTAAAGCTGGAGTTTCAAGCGCCAAAAAGAAGCGTTTTGCTGCCAGGGACTGCTGCAAACTGCCTTTGTTCTCGTGTTCAAGTTGCAAATTCCCCGCTTTGAAGCTTCGAGGACCAAGCCAGGTTTAGGTTTAGATGTCCAGGCGAAGCCATGTCAGGGAGGAAAAGGAAGACGGAGGACCAAGCTTCCTCTTCCTCCTGTCGCGAGATAAAGCCAGAATCTCCACTTGCGGTGGCCCTTTTAAGGCTGTGGTGTTTGGGAGACCTGAGCGCCAAGGTCGTCCAGGAGCTGTCCCAGGCAGCTGTCAAGTCAGGCTGCTCCCAGGCCGACCTTGTGGGACTTGCCAGCTTGGGTTCGCATGGTGTTAACCCGAACCACACGCACCACCAGCTGCTTTCCAGGGTCTTCAAGGACATGGCTGCTCCAGACCCAACGGTCGTGCAGACCAAGGCATGGGGGAAAAGCGCCACAGGCCAAAAAATCCAGGTAGACTGCAAGCTTCCAGTCATGCTTCCGCACAACTGGATGCTAAGCCTGGATGGCATGGACGATGACATCCTGGGTATCCAGGACATTGCCAAGTTTTGGGACAGCCAAAAAGGCGCTAACTCCAGGGTGTCGCAAAGCCAGGACTACTTTGACCAAGTTTTCCAGGACACCCAAGCCTTGGTCCCTTTCGCTTTGCACGGCGACGCAGCTCCCCACTCCAAGGTGGACAGTCTGCTTGTGATATCCATGAGAGCGATAACGTCACGACGTTCGATTGACGCTTGGCTTGTCTAGTATTCTTTCGGCAGTACGACCGCAAAATCACCATTTAGGTCTTGGTGTCTCTAATTTTTGCTTTCGCAGTCCAGGCAAGCAGCCAATTGTTGCTGGCCTGCATTCCCAAGTCGTGCATCACGCCCAAGCTCATGGAAGATCTTTGGACCAAGCTCTGCGAGTCCCTCCAAGCCATGGCCTCAGGAAGGTGCCCAACGACCTCCAGGCGGTTCAGGCCAGGAGTGATCTACTGCATCACAGGGGACATGGAGTTCTTCTACCAGGAATTCAAGTTCCCCAGGCCGAACCAAGCCAACCCTTGCCTTTGGTGCGCTTGCACCCAAGAGGGCGAGAACTGCTGGAACGACTTTCGCCAGGAAGCAGGCTGGAGAAGGACAACACTCAGGCCAAGGCAGCTGGAAGCCAGGCTGGAGCACCCGCTTTTCCAGGTCCAAGGCGTCAATGCTCAGGCTTTGAAGCTTGACGTCCTCCACGTCCTGGACCTCGGTGTGTCCTGCCATGTGGTGGGGAATCTGCTTTGGGAGATCATCGAAGACTCCAAGCCAGGTTCCAGGGACACCAACATGAGTTGCCTGAATGCCGAAATCCAGGAAATCTACCAGGAGCTAGGCATTCCTTCAGGCACCAGGTTGCCGAACCTGAAATGGAAGTCTGACATTGCCAGCAGTGCCAATGAGTACCCTTGCCTCAAGCACCAGAAGGGCAGGCGAATCAGGCATTTCATGCCTGTTGCTGTGGAGCTCGCCAGGAGGTACAGTGTCTAAGCTGCATTATATCTATAAATGTGAACACGACCTTATTCTTGTTTAAAGTTCTACAGCAATTTCAGGCTCCCAAGATGATCGCCGAAGCCTGCACCGACTTCGTGTCCTTGAGTCGCTGCGGGACATCTACGACTTGCTGGACAGGCAAGACTTCAAGTGGCCCCAGGACGTCAGGCGAAAATTCGCCGACCAAGTCCAGTGCTTGACCAAGCACTACGGCCATCTTGCCAAGCTGGCTTTTGATGCCCAGCAGTGTCGATATAGCCAAGTTTCCAAGTTTCACATGACGGCACACTTGCCAGAAGTTTCGCAGCACTTGGCCCCCAGGTTTTTTTGGACGTATGGTTCCGAATCCTTTATGGGCTTGATGTCTCACATCGCCAATGCTTGCCTTTCAGGCACTGCAGCTCACAAGGTGCCGGAAACCATCCTGTTCAAGTACAGGACGTTTTGGCATCTGCTTTTAAAGGGCTTGCTAGTGCTGGATGAGCCAAGCTGACCCAAGCAGCCAAGCTGCAAGCGGTCCAGGTCCACGCCAACTGCAAGCGGCCCATGAGCCATAAGCTGCTCAAACGGTCCAGGTCCAGGCCGACTGCAAACGGCCCATGGAAAACAAGTCGCTTGCGCCATCTGCTAAGGGCCGGACGGCCCTATACGTACATTCCCAAGTGGTATAATCCGGACGCTTAAAAATGTGTCGCCGTCTATAGCTGCAGTTTATAGGCTCTTCAGATGGCAAAAGTAGGAAGCCAGAAGAAGCCGGCCGCACGGCAGGCCAGATACTTGCCTGTGAGCTTGTCGAGCTTAAGTCTGTTTTTTGAAGTTTTGGCTGTGCCTCGACAGGCCCCGGTCTCGAAGAAGCCAGCTGCCAAGCTCGCAGACAAGGAGGCCGTCGTCAAGGTCAAGGTCGTCAAGAAAAGACCTGCGACTTCCACGACCTCCAGTGGCCAAGCTCCCAAGAGCCAAACCGCCACCTTGGAGACTCCTGCAGAGACGACAGCCAAGAGGCCAGCCGCCACCTTGGAGACTTCTGCAAAGGCGACAGTCAAGAGGCCAGCCGCCACCTTGGAGACTTCGGCAGAGACGACAGTCAAGAGGCCAGACGCCACCTTGGAGACTCCGGCAGAGACGACAGCCAAGAGGCCTGCAGCCGCCACCTGCTTTGCTCTCGAGGCGGGATTCTTTCAGTGCGATATATAGATTTTGTATATATATATATATATAGATAGATAGATGTGAACCCCTATACCCTCATAACCAGCTTTTAAACCCTTACGCCGAAACAGATCTGCAGGAAGAAGACAACTCGGATGGAGGTCTGGAAGCCGTTTGGGAAGCTTGCCAAGCTGCCGAGACCATGGCCAAGGGGCCAAACCAGAGCCCGGACAACGTGAGCCTGAGCCAGGAAACGATGGTCTTGGGCATGTATGACCCTCCGATCACTCAGAGTGACTTTGAGCAGGCCATGAAGGAGTGGCCAGAGGAGCCTGACTTTTACCACGACCCCTCACAGGAAGCTGAAGCGGAAGCTCCGCCGGGTCACCTTCTCGTTTGGGATTTTTTGTCCCCGATTCAAAAAATGATCATCAAGCAAAACCCGAGAGTCAGGGACGGCTTGCAGCCATGCGGGCTGCCAGTGTCCAATACCAAGTCCAAGCCCAAGTAGCCCGGAGCTTTTTTTTGAAAGGTAAGCTCCAAGCCTCCACGGCCAAGTTTTGAGGAAGAGCTCAAGAGAATCTTCACCCAAGATTCCCTGCCGCAGCTGTGGAAAAGAAGTGTTAGGCTGGAATGCCTGAGTCCAATTCCACGTCCAAGTCCAAGTAGCCAGGAACCGTTTTTGAAAGTTAGGCTCCGAGGCCTTTACAAGGCCAAGTTTCGAAGGAGAGCTCAAAAGAAGCTTCACCCAAGATTCCCTGCCGCTGCTGTGAAAAAGAAGTGTTAGGCTGGAAGCCTTCTGGGAAAGGGTGGGGAAGAGAAAGTGAGAGATAGAGAAAGAGAAAAAAGAAAGAGATAGATATATAGAAATAAAAATACAGGTAGAGATGGAGAGATAGAGAGACAGGGAGATATAAGAGATAGAGAGATAGAGCGACCGAGCGGTAGAGCGGTAGATCGAGCGATAGAGCGGTAGAGCGATAGAGAGATATACAGCGATAGAGAGATAAAGAAGTAAAGATGTAAAGGTAGAGATATACAGGCAGAGATACGGATAAAGGTACAGGTTGAGGTCGAGGTAGAGGTATTATATATAGTGGTGGAGGCAGAGATAGCGCTGAAATCTATTGATGTCAGAAGTGTTTCTCGTTTGATTTGAGATAACATTTCTATTGATTTTATGGAAAATTTCTATTGATTTTATGGAAAATTTCTATTGATTTTATGGAAAATTTCTATTGATTTTATGGAGATTTTCTATTGATTTTGATGTGGAGGTTTCTATTGATTTTTATGTCGCAGTTCTATTGATTTTGAGGATTTAAATTTCTATTGAAAAAGATCGTTTTCTATTGAATTTGATCGACACAATCAAAACGCTGAGAATTTTCAATCCCGCTTGATTTTTTTCAATCGGCGGTCCTCTGGGTATCTCCCATGCCTGCTCCGTTTGGCATTCACTCCAGTTCGTGCCCGTGTCAAACACCTCCACGGCCGACCAGCGAAATCCAAACGTGGCGGCCAACGTGAGGAGACATAGGATCCTGCCACCCACGGCGACTCCACGCCTCAATCTTTGCGTCAATCCCCTCGACGGCTTCCTCGGTCTTGGTCCCGAGGCGCTCCCTGCATCAAGTGTAGATGCTTGTGGCTGTTGCATAGCTGTCTCGCCGCCCCCAGGTGGCCCCATAGGCTGGCGCACTCCCGCCCCAGTAGCTGCATTAGCCACTTCGGATTCCTCCTCCATCGCACCCGGGGCCCCATCTCGTGCTCGACTCCCTTCTTCACCCGCAGCATCAGGAGGAAGAGCTTCCACTTGAACGCGAACAGCTTTCCTTGCAAGCTCAGCATCAGGTTGATCACCACGTCGTCGGAAAACTTGTTCGACAGGCTCGGGAAGGGAGCTGTATGATCCGTGAGGGCGCCGATCTTCGCCGGCGCTCGCCTTCCCTTGGTTTCCACACTCCCCTTCGTCGATGCTGCACTGGCTTCGGGCGTCGTAGTAGCTCTCTGATCCGCCCTCGTTCTCCCGGGCGGCGGCTCCTCGTGACGGGCCTTGCCCGCCCGACGCGTAGAGGCCCGGTCCTCCTCCTCGATCTTGGAGTCGATCTCGCCATTCTCCTTCAGCTTGTCCAGCTCCATAGGGCCCGGGGCCAAGCAATGGCCCAACTCCTCCTCCAGCAGGCGAACCTTCTCCACCCAGTATGCCTTTGTCGCCTTCGAGCCCTCGACGACGATCGAGGTCGGGTCCATGTAGTCCCACAGCTGCTCCTCCAGCTCGGCCGCCTGCGCCTCCAGCATCGCCTTGGTTGTTCGTGCCGGAGTGCTCGGGGCCTTGGATGCCGGAGTTGGCGGTGCCACCCTCGTGCTCCCCTCGGCTCGCGAAGACCTCAACCTCGGGGAACCCAGGCGTTTCATCTCGCCCTTGCGCGGTTTGCGGGTATCGGCCGACTTTGACCTGGCCCGTTCCCGTAGAAGGCGACCCAGTTTGTGGCCCCCGACCTTGCGATTGACTGCGGGGGCTGTGGTTGCTTCGTCCTCCGATTGGTTCTCCTCCGCATCGTCCAGGCCCACTTCTTCCCACGAGGTCCGCAGGGGTTCGTCGTCGGTGCGGTCCAGACGGTGGTGCACGGGCAGCGTCGGGGAGCTTCCATCGGAGATCACCTCCACTCCCGGGGCCTCCTCGTTCTTCTCCTTGCGCGCGTGCAGCACCATGTTCGCCGATCACAGTGGGAGGCGCCGGGGGCTCTGATGTCGAATTGCTAGACTCCATCCTTGTGAAGGGCGCAGCGCGGGTGTTGAACATAAAGATGGTGGTCGTATCATACACTCCGTGCAAAGGCTGCCTAATCGGGGTAGCCTCAGTCACGCACTCTTCAAACAACTTGCCACCATTCTGAGCATCATACACCACCCGACGAACGACGAACTCCCACGCCGGTCCGTTGGTTCCGGGGCCCACTGTGTTGCTCACCTGCTTGTCATGTCTTGTCCACGATCTCAAGGAGGGCATCGTCGTAACTCGGGAACCTGTTTCATTTCGGGAGGTCTCAAGGCTCTCGTTCACATACACCGGAATGGCTTCGAGGTGCTGGGGGATGCTGGGCTCATGAATCTGGGGCATATCTTCAGCAAACTCGGCAATCGGAATAACATAGTGCCCACCGAACGTCTGAGACAATCCATAGCGAGTGACTCGAAGCTTTCGTGAGGAAACCTGGTGGTGCTCAGTATCGATGACCATACCCAGCTGAGTGCACGCAGGCTTGGAAAGCAATGGTGGACACTCTCCGGGCACCACGCTGAGTCTCAAGATCACCCTCACGCCTAGCACCGTAGCTTCAAAGACAAAAGCATACTCACTCACAAGCTCATGGCCATCACCAAAACGAAAACTCTCCCGCTCTCTCGTGGCCATCATCCAGCCTCCCAGCTGCTTAAGGCGCGCAATATGTTGGTTGACCCACTTAGTCCCTGCCACTGACTTCATGCATCCCAAGTCCAAAATCAAGCTGCTGTGTAGTTCACGCATAGACCAAAAGGCTTCGTGATCTACTGTGGCAAGGGCTGATCTGAACGACGTAACCAGACAGGTAGAAACCCGAGAGACATCCCGAACAGGTGCGGCCACCGTGTATTGCGTCATGCTCTCGAGAAGGCTCCATTGGCCCGGGTCCTGGCTTGAGCGGCCCGAGGTAACCTGCACAGAATGCGCGTTTTTGCGAGGGCCCTTGTGCCTCAACGGGCATTCCTGGCTCCAGTGGCCAAGCTTGTCACACAAGAAGCATGGCTCCTTCTTCTGCTGCTCTCGAACCCAGGCCTTCGTCTTCTCGGAGTTGCCACGCTGAAAATACTGCCGCATCTGCTTTAGCTCATTCACCTTCTTCTTGGCCTTGTACTCCTGAGCGTACACTTCCGCCGGCATGGAGATCTCCGACGAGGTTTCCTCGTCCTGGCCCGGGGCATTCTCCTCCTTGTCATCGCCGTTCTCCTTCGAGTCGGAGCTATCATCTTCACCGGACTGGCTGCTCGACTCGGAGTCCTCATCATTCTCCAAGATGGCATGAAAGACTTGCTTGAGTTTCCGGGCCCGTCCATTCCAGCGGCCTCGCTGATCCCGACGTCGGCGATCTTTGCCATCGAACCTGCGGTAGCTCTTCTCCCGGCCGTCACGCCGTCGAGCATCATCACCAGTCTCGCGGGACCCCTTTTGCACAAGGTAACGGTCCTCATCCGGCAGGTCCGGCTCCCCTTTTCCAATGGGGTATCCACTCTGGCCCTCTAACTGCTCCGAAAGCTCCAACATGGCATTCACCACCTTGTGCTCTTCGTGAAGTCCACCGGCCGCCGTCTTGATGAGGGCCTGGTCCTTACTCGTGAGGCGGGCGGCGTCAATCAAGTGGCCCAAGTAGAACTTCGTGCCCACACGGTAGTTCTGGCAGGAGTCATTCTCATGGCGATAGATCGAAGCCCTGTTAATGAAGGACTCCAATGACTCCTTCGGGTAGCGGCAAAGCTTCATAAACTTCTGGCGTTTCTTGTCCACCTCCTTATGCTCCAGCAACCTGATAATCGGGCTTTTCTCCATCTCCTTCCGAATCAGCTCGACTCCGCCGGGGCCCGTGACGTCCTCCACACTCAGGTGATTGACAATCTTCCCGGCTCGCTCCTTCAGCTGCTGCATAAGCCTGGTGGCACGAACGCCTGGCGGCAAGTTGGCACCCTCAGACGCCAACCAAAACTCCACCGACCTCCAGTAGTCCTTCCATGACTCTCCTGGCTTTGCCTTGAACTCTGGCGGAAAGGACGAATGAAGCTTCAGGTAAGCCCCCCCGTCCTGACGGTCGGACCTCTCCGTTCTTGACCCCACACACACTTGACCTTGATCGCGCTGATGTCCTTGCGGCTGATCGTCTTGAAGTCCTCGTCCTTGATCGAGCTGATGTCCTGACGGCTGATCGTCTCGAAGTCCTCGTGCTTGATCAAGCTGATGTCCTTGCGGCTGATCGTTTCGAAGTCCTCGACCTTGATCGATCTGATGTCCTTGCGGCTGATCGTTGCGAAGTCCTCGGGCATGATCACCTTGGTGTTCTTGCGGTGAATCGGGTACTCGAAGGCGTCCTTGATCGAGTACTCGAGCTCCTTCCGGATCATGCCGAAGCGCACGGGGAGAATCGTGTCCTCGGGCTCGATTCTCCCATCCACTGAAAAATTGGGCTCTCCTCGGCATCGGCACTTCCTTCCGTTCGGCACTGTTCTCCCGCCTGGACAACAGTCGAGGCAGGGGAACTCCAGACACTTCCGGTGGCATGCTCTCCTCCGGATCCTGTGCTGGCTCCTCCCAGTTATGGTACCGATGCCTCCAGCCGGGGCGAGCGGTGTCCAGGTGGTGTCCCCATGGGTCCGAACTCCACGAATCATCTGACCATTCATAGTCAGACCACTCCCAAGACCCATGGCCTGCAGCTCGTTCCTCCAAGGCGCCAGGGGCTGACGCAGCCTCCCAGTTGTTCGAGGCTCTGGCTGCACGATGATCCCACGACAACCTTCGAGGCGACGGCGTTCCCCTCCAAAGGTTTCGGCCCCCCAATGACCCATTCACTGAGGGGGTCCATCTCTCTGAACTCACGCCATGTGACGCCAGTCGCTCAGGCGTCGCATCCGCCTGCTGTTCCGCAGGCCCCATCGTCATAGTCGAAGGCATCTCAGGTGCCTGAACTTCCCCAGGCATCACTGTCGTCGTCGAGAGGATGTCGTCATCATCTTCCACCCGCTCCCACTCGCGGCCCACAGAGTCGCGCACAACGGAACTCATGGCTCAAGGTTTCCCGGCCACTACCTTACCTAAACCACTTACTGCCGTAAGTCCTGAACAACACTGACACACCAATGTGACCCAACACTACCGGAGCCCCGTATCGGAGCTCCGCTACCACAAGAAAACCCTAACGACCGAAAAACAGCTGCCGGCCTCGACGGACCTTTCTTCCTGCACGCGGATCTGTGAGCCATCCTTCGGCGGCATTGTTGACACATCGGCTGGTTTAAATGTCAGCTTTCACATTTAGGCTTACGTGGAGGTTCATGACTAGTTATAGATGGGGTTATAAGTCCCCAAATAGGGGTTAATAACCATAGTTACCCTACTTATAACCCCACTTATAACTACCCATGAACCTCCAAGTAGGGTTTAAGAGCTCTGGGGTTTACGTCTTGTGGGTTTTGGGATGACTTTTCTGGGGTGTTTGGGTTTGGAGGGTGACCCATGTGTCGGCGCTGGCTTGGCTGGGCCGGAAACAAAACCTCCGTCAAGATCACCATCACTGCCGCTACCGCGCACCCCACTACCAATACCCGCAACGTGACCTTAAGTCCAGGAGCTAGAATCTCAAAAACTGCAGCCTAAGCCCTAAACCACCCAACACAAAACCATAACCTCTAAAACCCCAAACTCCAAATGCACTCCGAGACAAGAAGCCGGTGGCCAAGGGCGGCTGCAAGGGATCGGCACAGCTCTCGTCGCCATGATTTGGGGTTGGGTCACGCGCGCCGAGGTGGATACAGGACAGGAGTAACTTTCTAACGGGTACCTAGAGGCTCATAGTTTTATGGTTAGGATCTGTTATCTTATAAAGTCGGCGCCCTAAAAGAGGGGCAGGGTATGAGCGTCTAGGTAGTGCAAGGGCTCCGCACTTTAAGGGCCACACTGCAAGTCTGGGTTAACCTAGACCCCCCAACTACCCTCTAATGCTAAATACCCACTAGTAAGGACCGTAAGGGCACCATTAAAGGGTACTACAGTTGATGATATAAATCCTGCACTACCTAAAGGACCCGAAACTCTGGGAATCATGGTATATTCCTTATTATGGGTAATGCAGGATTTATATCATCAACCGTAGGGGGGGGGGGGGTCCTGGAAGTTAAGGGCTTAGGTTGCAGTGGGATCGTGGGTTCGGGGCGTCAGGGCCAAAACAGGCACCCCAGCACTTTAAAACGGTCGCTGTGGTATAATATTCTACCTGCTATTTCATAGCAAGCCTGATGAACAACGATACGAATAGCTCAGGACCCTATACCAATCTCATGTTCTAGGCTTAGGGCTTAAATTTGTGTAGGTCGGGGACGGCGCAAGGTACCTCTCGAGTCAGACAGTGCAGGCTTGGGTACTCAGATATTGTACGTCAAAATCGCGCGGCTTATGTTCTGCACAGTCTGGCTCATGGGTAGAAATACTTCCTCTACTGAACCCGTCTAGGTACTAAGAAACAAACTCGCCTTACTTGCATGCGCTGCACGCAGGGTCTAGAGGGCTGGTCTAGCAAGGAGGGCTTTCGATCGAGGAATTTGTAGCAGGGGTCGGACTGCAGTATCCCCACACTCTGCTGGGATTGCGAGCCAGACAGGGATTCAGCGTCTGTTGTAACTCTTGATGAATAAGATGCCTAAACCCCTATATCCAAACCTCTAAAGCATGTAGTGCGCACTTATTCGAGCTCTGTCATCCCCCTCACAAATACCCTAAACCCCTAACCCCTAAATCCCTAAATCCCCAGACCCCTCAATCTGTGAGCCACAAACCCCGAAACTCCCAAACCCCGAAATCCTAAACCCTCTACAGCCGAAACGCTGACCCTTAATAACAAAGAAACATGACTAGCGAACTCCAAGCCCTGAAAGCCCGTGATAATGCTTTGGTTCTGAGTTCTGAGGGTGCGGAATGCAAGGGAAAAAGAAAGAGTATATAGGGTTTGGGGTGCAATGTACAAGAGTTCAAAGCAGGATAAAAGGTTTTACGGAATAGCAGTTTGTTGAACGTTTTGAGCTTAAAGCAACAAAGAAGAAAAATGGCAAGCCGCACGGAGCCACGGAGGAAGCCGCACTGAAGAACATTGTATACTACGAATATGACCATTGAATATCACCACTTCGAAATGCCATTTCACCATAACCAGCCGAATTTCAGGGGCTGGAACATTGCGACCGACAGGGATTTAGGATTCAGTGGGTATTCAGGGTCTAGGGTTTAGGGGGATAGGAGTGTGGGGCTTATGCCGGAGACGTGACCGATGCGTATCTCCTTCAACCAAACAGGGGCCGAGGGCCAAGACGCGGCGGGGGACCTCCTTCTGGCCTTTCTGCTTCCTCCGCATTCTGGCACGCTCCATGACCGGGTACCTGTGGTCTTAATCAACATGTAGGGGCCTTAAAAATTAGAACAGGGTTTTGGGGCTATATTATACCATAACCATTAGAATAGGGTTTGGGGGGTATGGTATACCACAACTGTACGTACTAAGAAACCCCCCAAACAATACTCTAATTCTTCTACGGCCCCTACAAAATTTATACCACAACTATACATACTAAGGAAGCCCCACTAAACCTCTAATTATTTATCGGCCCCTACAAGACTATGGGGTATAGTATATCACAACTATCTACGGCCCCTACAAAAAGAAGGAATCGAAGGCTTGGGTCTGGGGTTCGGGGGGCTTCGGAGTCGGCAAACTCTCTGTCCTACTACCATGGGGACCTGAAGGATTTTGACCGGAAATTTTTTGAAAACTGCACCTGAGAAAGAGGAACCCATAGAAGTAGTAGTACATATAATAATATACTGAGAAATCAGGAACCCACAGAAGTAGTAGTATTCTTCTTCTTCTTCTGAAGGACTCTGGAGTTTCCAGAAACGTGTCCGAAGGAGTGATACGGTTGATGATATAAATCCTGCATTACCTTAAATTAAAGACCCTAAACTATGGGAATTATGGTATATTCCTCATTATGGGTCATGCAGGATTTATACCATCAACCGTATTACGACTTCTTCAATCTCCCTGAGTAAGTATGATAAGTCCAGCCTGAACACGCAGAAAGGCTTCCTCGGTTTAGGGTTTAGGGTTTAGGTTAGGATTCCTATATACACATAATTAAGCAGGTACGCTGGGACATTTACTGTTTGCGTGGCATAATATGCCACGATGATGTCAGGGACTATACGTTACAAGTTATCAAGGCCCATGCTAAAAGTCCCAGAACCCCTGCCCGCTTATTCGAGAAGCTGCATTGGCCGCCTACGGAAACCGAGGACGACAAGCTTGGGCTCAGCTGCAAGCATGAACGATTTTAGCTCGTAGGGCTTTGGAGGCTTTAGGTCTCAAACTAACCCAGGCAAAATGTCCTGAAACCCGAACATCAACTTCACGAAACAAAGTCAGCAGCTGGGCGCAAAACCCTTACACCGTAAACCCCTAAACCCCCAAAGCCCTAAACTCTAAACCCCTACACCACAAGCTCTAAACTGCAAACCTCTAAGCCCTAAACCCTACCCTGAACTCCAAGCAGAAGCAAATGTATCACACAAACCCCCCTACAAGCAGGAGAACCACAGCTCCAGTTTCTGCACGCCGCTCGCACAGACGAGGATTGCGCTTGGTGCGGGGTTCGCAACTGCATATATCTATATATATATATATATATGTATATGAAAAAAAGCGACAGAGCTCAGGGGCTGCTGTATTCCTGCTTCACACGAGGCTCGCCCTCGTCGTAAGCAGACGTTTTGTGCCTGGGAGATCATATGCTCAAACAGGGCGTGGCTTAGGGCTTTAGGGTTCAGGGCTTAGAGGTTCAGTTTAGATTAGAGTTTAGGGTGTAGGGGTTTAGGGTTTAGGGCTTTAGGGTTTAGCGGTTTGGGGGTTTAATTATGGTTTAGGGGTTCAGGGTTTTGAGCTTGAAGTTTTAGGGGTTTACGGGTTTAGGTCTAGGGCTGAGGGGTTTAAGGGTTTAGGGCTAGCGCAAGGGCCGCTGCTTGCAAGGCGATGTGCGACCTTAGTGGTAGTATAAGCCATGCTATAGTAGATTGCTTCTAAAACATTTTATAAGACTAAGTTCCACGCGCTTCTAAGTCTCCCAGGAGGATAAGAGCTTCGAACATTTTGGGCGAAAGGCTCAGGGCCTGAGGCGGTTGCTTTGACCCAGGATCGCCCCTGCTGTGGTTGAGAAGCCGAGAAAAAAATCCACAACTTCAATGGAGGGTGAGGGTTGAGGGTTTTTTTTTTTAAGCACCTTTTTGCGACTGCTGACGTCTCTGCCACCCGTCACAAGACCTTAAGATCAGGGTTTAGGGTTTCGGGTTCCGAGTGTGATGTAGCAAGCTGATAAAAAGCCACAACTTCAAAGGATCCTTTAAAGGGGTCTATAAGGGTTACTATCTAGGTTGGCCCCTTAAAGCCTCTGAAAAATATTCGTAAATAGGGTCCTACTAAGCCCAATAAGGGAAAATATAAAATGTCCCAAAGGCCTACCTAGCTATAAGCGATGTATGCGAAGGGTACTATAACAATGTAGGAACCTGATTAAGAAACCTTGGACCTTCATTAGGGTTCCTTATATGAACTCTCCGATTTGGGGGTTATAGGCCCAGGGTTTCTTAATCAGGCTCCTACCTTAGGCCCTTAAACCCCAAACCCCCGAACCCTTAAACCCCCAAGCCCCAAACGCGAAGCTCGCGCTCCGAGACCCTCAAGCCCTGAAGCGAGGCCTTAGAAACATACGGTCTCAATTAGGGTTCCAAAAAAGGACCCAAACATAAACTTCTGGTTGGGATATCCCGAATTGCTTTGTTTATACAGGGGCTTGTGGGATATCCCAACCTTCTGTTTTTTGTTTAAGTACCTTTTTGGGCCCCTATCAATCCCTCAAGCATGAACGGCAAGACCCCGGAGTAATGAACCCTGGGGGCCCAATCCCCTAAACTGTGATACCACAAAACTGCTAGCCTGAACCATAAACCCTAAAAACTGCTACACT